AGAGAGAGAGAGAGAGAGAGAGAGAGAGTGTGTGTGTGTGTGTGTGTGTGTGTGTGTGTGTGTAAAGTATTGGTAGATCTTAATGGACTTTTGCTGAATAGGACTGACTGATGAGGTTTTACAATTTGTTTCTTGATAAGAGATGAGATATAGGAAGAAGATATCTTTTTGATTATTGAAATACTAGAGGAGGTGTTAAGTTACTGAAGTTGTTTATAATTGGAGAGAGGGAGGAGTCAATTTTTAAAATTTCTTATTTCTTTTTTTTCTCTCCGTTTACCCTTTTCTTTTTCTTTTCCTCACTTTTTTACTTCTCTTAGTCTTTTTATCTTTGTATTTGTAAACTTTAATAAAATTATTTTTAAAAACATGATTTACTAATACGTCTTAAGAACAGAAATTGATCTAGAGCACAGGTCAAAAAATAATTGACATAATTTACAACACAGAAGTTTTCAGTTGATTATAAGGAAAAATTTCCTAAAGGGTAAAGCAGTTTGATCATTATGCCAAAGTCCTCGAGAGCTAGTGCTTTCTCTGTGAGTATATATATTCCAGCAAAGGCATTATAGCTGTCTGTCAAGGATGCAGTCAACTGGATTCCTGCACTGAGAGACACAATGCAAGAGTTGCAGGCTAGACTCAGATGTCAAGAAACCTCCAGAAGGCAGCAATGCCAAACCACTTCTATCCCATTGCCAAGAAAACAGCATCGTGAAGCAGATTGACTCATCTTGCTGTGGTTCACACTTAACTCCACAAATTTATCTGAAACAAAGCTAAGAAGCAGTGGAAGCTGCAAGTAGATCAGGACATCCTCTTGCAATATTCCACAATGGGCATTCAGAGCATAGCAGCAATTTGGATTGGCAAGTTTTTTGTTTTATTCAGTTTCTCATATGCAGCAGGTGATATTTCTGACAATTGTGGCCAGCACTCACCAGAAGTGGGGAGTTGTGGGTAGAGTAATTATTAGACCTGGGGAAGCAAAGGCTCTAGTAACCCACTCTTCTCTCATGCAAAGACCCTGAAGACGCTAAAGCTACGTAATGGGGAAAAACTCAAACTTTCCTCCATTTATGCTTTTCTTTCTGGGAAAGTATATGAAAATGTCCCCAGGCCTGGGGCTCCCAGAGAACTGGAGACATGCTTAGATGGCTCCTTTGTTGAGTTAGCTGTCCTTATTCTCTCCTGCCTAGAGTTTGTATATTTTTTTATCATATTTATCTTGTAATACATTTTTTATTATTTTGTACTGATTGTTTATGTATGCGTTGTTTTTACTGGATTGTTGTAAGCTGCCCAGAGTCACTTTTCTGTGACATGAGCGGCTATACAAATTTGATTAATAAATCAATAAATGAAGTGCCATAATTTACAAAATGAGAAGGGTTGTTGGGACAAATAATATTCTATCTTTTCCTCATGGTGCTGAAACTTAATACGGTTAGGTATTCTAATAAAAATACTTATACTGTAGACATGTTTGCATCATGTGTGCATCCTCTTCCTGTGCTGCTTGTTGTACTGTTTCTAATTCCTGCTGTCAACTATATCAAACATTTTCGGATGGTACCCAGAGCGTACCATTATTACCATTCTGGCCCCCTCTGCCATACTGTCCACTGCAAAGGGGGGAGAAGAAATAGAGGAACGCAGGGGACAAATAATATTCTGCCTCTTCCTTATGGTTCTGAAATGTGCATTAGACAGAGCAGAAGGACGGAAACAGCCTGATGACCTTGAAGGGGAAGGAGACAGATAACAGACACCAGATTGTTCTCCTTTCCCTGGTGTGAAAGGAAGCACTACATGGGTACAATAACGGACACTGTTTATGCTTGAAGGTGCTACTATTAGTAGAAGGAGGTCAGTTTGGAGCCTTTGTAGGAATGTGGAATCTAGAGGCACTGGGTCAGAACATAGCAAGGGCATCCCAGAGGACTATCCAATGTTACGTTCCAGCCGTAAAGGCTGTATGATGTACATTGCTTTCTTCATCATTCCTGTGGAACACTTCTGGGGGTATTTAATCCATAATCTGCCTTAGTTCAGGGCTCTTTTGCATTCTGGTGGCCAGGTACCCAGTGATCATGGTAGCTGTGCATGCCAATAAAAGATGCTTTGTATCACTTATCCCCAATCGCCTTGGTTCCTTAGATCATAGAAATGTTATAGATATCTTGACTTCAGCAAAACATTTGATAAAGTTTTCAATGAAAACTATTTTAGCAGATGGTGATC